GAGTTTTATTCTTTAGCTCTGTTTTTAATCCCTTAGAATGAAAATTAAGATTAGAGTTTTTATGTTGTACATGTTTCAGATGATATTTATAGTTTTTGCCTTTGTTTTGTTTGTGAGACAATGATCATGCAAATGCAGCAAGCTGTAATGAAGCAAGTATTCGCAAATAGATGCAACAGTTTTAAGCAAGAATGCAAAGCAAAAACTACATTTCATGCAGTTAAGGATGCGGAGGATTATTCAATCCCCGCCACGTCTCACACGGAGAAGATACGATACCTGCGCGATTCGTCTGGTCGCACCAGCCTTAATTGAACCGTACATACAATATCGTGCCTGTAAAAGAGAGAAATTCAACAAGCACAATGTGCTAGAAACATATATTCAATGTGATTTCGAAAGTTTGACACACGCAGCGCCGGTGAGTGAATGCATCGCAATGCAAGAGTGGAACATGCGTGACAACGTATGCTCCAACACAGAAGTATGCCAATATCAAGAAATGTGCATAAAAGTGTGAGTATGCTCATGAGAATGCAAGTTATGTGCATGATAGTACAAAACGAGTATTAATCAGGGTGTTCATTTGTCATGAAATAACGAGCACGGAAATGCGCGTTTCGGCGAAGGCAACTCGATCACAGCCTCCGATCCGCTTCCCGGAAAGGCTACAACTCATTCAAAAAGGATACACTTCGATTTCGATGAATGATGATGAAACATATGTCAGATCTCGAAGCCGAAGTCCCGACGGAGCAATTTCGCGACCAGAAGTGTACTTTTCTTGAACTTTTTCAGGTCCCGGGAACTCCAATCTTCCTCAAAATTTGCAGAGAGCTAGGTGGGCATGTGGGGGACATGGCCGGCCGGTTATATGAGAAGGGGGAGGTGGCCAACCGGTTTTCCATAAAGTAAATAGCTGGCCGGCCAGTTTTCCAAAAGGGAAATGGCTGGCAGGCTAGAAAAAGTGGCCGGCCGGCCATATGCCCAAATCCGGGGGCATTTTGGTATTTTCACCTCCTTTTTGATGCTCCTTCAATCCAAGACTTGGGGCCTATATAAGGCAGCCGAGACCTTCTCCTTTCTTGCCTCCTATACCACTTTCTTCTTCAGATCTGAGTTCCACACGTGTTTTCCAAGGCCCCACGCAAATTGTTTCCGCAAAAACATTCAGTTTCAAGCACTTTGAAGCGATTAAATTCCGGCTTCGGAGCTTCTTTTCGCATTTTCGCCACTTAAGGTAAGTTTGTCTCAATATTTGGAAGATTTTCTCGGGAGTTGACTTTTGTTGACTTTTTCCAATTTTGGCTCATTTTCGCTCATTTTTGCTCCCTTTGCAGATCTTCTGAAAATGGCGGGTAATTCTCCCCACGGCGGAGGTTTTCCAGGTGCCGGAGATGATTTCGATCCCATGACTCTACCCCCGAGGACCCGACCTTTTATTCCCGGGAGGGAC